GACCCACATCACTGACCAAAACCTTTCAACCAGATTCCTTCTTTTGCGGCTTCTGTCAATGCCATGTACTCTGCTTCTGTAGTAGACAACGTCACCGTAGGTTGCATAGTAGCTTTCCAACTGACAATTGAACCACCCAGAGTGAAAGCATAACCAGACATAGATCTCCTACTGTCAACATCTCCAGCATAATCAGAGTCTGAAAATCCCGTCACCAAACATTGTGTATCACCTTCATAAATGAGACCAACATCAGACGTACCTTTTAAGTACCGAAAAACCCTCTTCACAACCTGCCAATGCTCTTTGCCTGAATCACCCATAAACTACTAACAACACTGACCGGTTGTGCAAGATCAGGTCTAGTGCAGACCATCGCATACATCAAGCTTCCTACTGCACTAGCATAGGGAACTCGATTCATGTACTCCTTCTCCTCAGCAGACTTTGGTGCAAAAGCGATGGACAGATGTATATTTGCAGCACTAGGAGTATCTATGGGCTTTGTTGTAGACATGCCAAACTTTGACAAAATCTTCTGAATGTATCCTTTCTGTGACAAGAAGAGTTGTCTTTTGCTTCTATCCCTATAAATCTCCATTCCCAGAATTTTCCGAGCCGCATCCAAATCTTTCATTTCAAACTCAGCACTTAGGAGACCTTTTAACTTCTGAACATCAGACTTGTTCTCTACAGCTATCAACATATCATCTACATACAGGACCAGATAAATCAAAGAACCATTTGCTGTTTTACTATAATAAACACAACAATCGTACAGACTCCTGGTGTAGCCAATACCTATCATATAGCTGTCGAATTTCTTGTACCACTGCCTTGGGGACTGCTTTAGCCCATACAAAGACTTCAATAACTTGCAAACGTAGTCTTCTTTATCAGGAACCTGGAAACCATCTGGCTGAGTCATGTATATCTCCTCTTCTAGCTCTCCATGTAGAAAAGTTGTCTTCACGTTGAGTTGTTCAAGCTCCAGATTTTGATGTGCAACTATTGCTAGTAGCACCCTGATGGAAGTGTGTCTGACCACCGGCGAAAAAATCTCATTGTAGTCTACTCCCTCCTTTTGAGTGAACCCTCGAGCTACTAATCGAGCTTTATACTTGATACCCTCAACAGATGTTTCTCCTTCCTTCTTCTTGTAGACCCATTTACAAGTGACAATCTTTCTGTCTCGAGGCCGTTTGACTAATTCCCAAGTCTTATTCTTCTGAAGTGACTCCATTTCATCTCCCATTGTAGCAAACCATTTTGTAGACTCAGTACATGCAACCGCTTCTTTGTAAGTGGATGGATCATCAGAGTTAGGATCCACCTCTTCAGCAACCTGTAGTGCATATGCCACCATATTTTCAAAACCATATTTCTTTGGAGGCACCCCATAATTAGCTCTCCTCGATTGATCAAGAGCCAAACTATGTTGATATGCGTTTGATAATGATGAAACTGATGATTATGATTCTGACTGTGGTTGTTGAACTTCCTGTTGTGGTTCACTCTCATCTTGAGTGACGCCATGCTCCACCTGTTTCTCAACACTACCACTTTCTGAAGCAACAATAGACTTCACCGTAGAGTTAAACATAGAATTTTCATCAAAGACTACATTTCTACTCAGTATAACCCTATTTTCAGATGAAGACCAGATTCTATAACCTTTAACCCCATCCCCATAGCCTACAAAAACTCCCTTTTTAGCTCGTGGCTCCAGTTTACCCTCATTTACATGATAATAAACCGTACAACCAAAAATCTTAAATCGGAGTAATCAGCAGGCTTACCAGACCATTTCTCAATAGGAGTTTTGAGATGAATACCCGTGTGAGGTCCACGATTAATCAGATAACACGCTGTATTAACCGCTTTTGCCCAGAATCTTCTAGCTGGTCCAGCATTAGAGAGCATACACCTAGCTCTTTCCAGTAATGTCTGATTCATACGTTCTGCTACACCATTTTGTTGTGGTGTATTCCTGACTGTATGATGCCTAGAAATCCCTTCTTTCTTGCAGAATTCATTAAACTCAGACGAGCAAAATTCTAGGCCATTATCAGTTCGCAGCCTCTTAATCTTCTTCCCTGTTTGATTTTCCACTAGCGCCTTCCATTGTCTGAAAATCTTAAAGGCTTCACTTTTATGCTTTATGATGAACACCCAAGTCATTCTTGAGAAATCGTCAATCATTGACACAAAATATCTGTGACCCCCTAAAGACTCCACCTAAAGACGGACCCCAACAATCAGAATGGATGTAATCAAGTGTGCCTTTTGTTCTGTGTGTTGCTTTAGGAAACTTGCTGCGATGCAACTTTCCAAAAACACAATGTTCACAGAACTCAAGACCTGTGACCTTATGACCACAAAGAAGATCAGCTTTTGAAAGAATTTGCATACCCCTTTCACTTATGTGACCGAGCCTCATGTGCCACAATCTGGTCATGTTTTCCTTTTCAATCTCTGAAGACGCAATAGCAACAGAACCTGTTAACCTAGAACCTTGAAGAAGATACAAGGTACCACGTTTAACACCTTTCAGAACCACATCAGAACCTTTGCAGACATGTAAAACTCCACCTTCACCTTTAAAACTGAAACCCTTGTTGTATAACATACTCAGAGATATCAGATTCTTCGTCATAAGTGGTACATGCCTTACATCATTCAATGTGCAGAAATTACCATCATGTGTCCGAAGTTTAACTGAGCCAATTCCAATCATCTCACAAACAAAACTGTTTGCCATAGAAATTTTTCTACCGTCTACTTGCTCGTAGGTTGTGAACCACTCTCTGCGAGGACATATATGGTAAGATGCTCCAGAGTCAAGGATCCATACATCAGAGTGATGTGTATCCTTGGCAGCAACTAGAGCAATATCTTCTTCGGAATTAGCATCAGCTACAGCAGCAGTACCTGCAGCAGTACCCAACAATTTATCCTGTTGCTTCTTTTTCTTAGGACAATCAGATTTCCAGTGTCCTTTCTCTTTACAGTAATTGCAGACATCATTAGATTTCAAACTCTTAGGGGCTGGTTTCTTGGATTTATACTTCCCCGACTTTCCATATCCGGTACTCCCGCTAGCTACCAACCCAACAGCATGATTATCTGCACCTGTACCAGCCGCCTTATGCCGCAGCTCTCTAGAATGAAAAAAAGATCTAACCTCTTCTAGAGAAATAGTATCTTTACCAACAATAAACGATTGCACAAAATTCTCGTATGATAATGGTAAAGAAACTAACAAAATTAAAGCATCATCCTCATCTTCAACTTTAACATCAATATTACGCAATTCTAATAGAATTGTATTTAGTTGATCTAAGTGATCTCGAAGAGGCATACCTTCCTGCATTCGCAGACTAAACAGACGTTGCTTCAGAAGCAACTTATTTGTTAAAGATTTTGTCATGTAGAGACTTTCAAGCTTCAACCATAAACCAGAGACGGTATCCTCCTTCGCGATTTCAGTAATAATATCATCTGCAGGACACAACAGAATTGTTGAGTGTGCCTTTTCTTCGAGACTGGCCATCTCAACGTTTTCAGAAGCAGTCTTTTTCTTGTTCAACGGTGCCCAGAGCCCCTGTTGCTTTAACAAGGCACGCATCTTGATTTGCCATAGACTGAAACTATTTCTCCCAGTAAATTTGTCGACCTTAACGTTAATACCACCAGACATCTTTCTCCCAGAACCGTATACGTGAACAGTACACTATTTGTGAATAGTACTGTATCTGTGAACAGTACCGTATTCGTGAATAGTGCCTCCAAAAACCCTGCTGTCTCTGATACCAGTTTGTTATAACGGAAGCAAGAAAGATGATAAAACAGAGAAAGTAGGCAGAAGAGAAATGTTTATATTGATCTTGAGGATAAACAGATTACAGAACTTTCAGATACTCTACAAGCTTCACATGCATTGCTATTTATAGCAACAGTCTAAGGTGGTAGGTGTGGTAGGTGGTGCTGCCGGCTGCTACATAAGTCAAGTCCGGCAGCTAGAGAAAGTCAATTTTGACGGCTACAGATTCAAGGCATATTCTAACACGTTCATAGAGTTATAGTGTTATACTAATCAAAATCATTGTATAAAAGTTATCACTATTGACCTGAGAAGACAAAAATGATAAAATTTTAAGAGTATGTTATTACCCATTTAGCTTAAATGATTAAAGGGATATTATTTTTTATAAAATATAAAAAAAGGAGAATACGTAATTAGTACTACCTCCGTCCTATAAAACAAATAATTAAGTAGTGAACTTTGGAGAGTCGGCCCTAGGGGAAACACTAGGCGGCCATCCCCAACATTTTTCAAGATCTGAATTTTAAGTCTTTTCTTGTTCGGCCAGCAAAAGGTTTTGGAAGATGGCGACGTTCTCTATGCAGTGAAAAAATAAATCAAAAGTTGTTCTTCGCTTCCGCTTCTTGTGAGCATGTGGTATGTTATTTTCCTAGAAATGTCTAGAGGTTGTTTGTTTCTAATCGGTGTAATCGATCTGATGAATTTTGATTGTTCATGCTTGGTAAAGCTTTTTCAACCTTGTTGTTCGGGTGCTTCAAATACTCGTCCTCCACCTGAACCATCGCCTCGCTCTGGGAAGAAGATGGTCAATTGGATATCCTTTTTGGTGGCCGGTCAAACCGATGCTTCAGAAAAAAATTCTGCTCGACTGATTTTCCTTTTTTGATTTATGGTCAAACCAATTATTCATTTCCGGTGGCTGATGAAGCCGGATCTTTTAGATGTAATATTTTTATTTTTTCTTTGGAGTAACAAGAAGAACAACAAGACTGTTAAACTTAGACTTAGACTATTCTCTTGTATCTTTGCTATCGTTTAATAATAAATTAGTTTGATTTTTTTTTTAAAAAAAAGAGGATAATACATTTAAGTACGTCAAATAAATAAAGGGTAAGAGTGTAATTTTCACTAAAAAATCACTCGTACATTGGAACTGCGGGAATATTTTTCCCGCGATAACAGGCAACCTTATGTCCCCCGCTATTCAAATTTTTGGCTCTACCGACCATTTTCGAAGACATTAGAGAGAAGAGAGGAGTGAGTAGCCCTATCTATACTGCAATGGTCAGATGCGAAAATGAGAATGCCAAGACAATTTGCTCAATTTGCTTTGAAGATCTGAAACCAATCGTCGAAGATCTCCAATCCATTTCTTTGTGTGGTCACGTATTTCACGAGCTCTGGTAAACCCTTTCAAAGCACCATGTTTTCATTCTTCTTCTTCTTCTTCTTTTCTGTTTTATCAACTTATCTGGGTAATGAAACTGATGAAATAGGTAGGTCAAAGCCTCGAAGGGCGAAAACTTTATCTACTGTACTAAAATTTCATAATCAGGAATGAGGCATATGGAGGTTCTAATATTATAGATTCGTTGGTCCTTCTTTAGCTGTCATGATAACATCTATTTTGAATGAAATTAATCTTTTTTTGTTTTCTAAAGGGGTCGATGATGATCTTCTGTTTGCACAGTATTGTATTTCCCAGTAATGTGTCCTCTGACATTTGAATTCTAAAATTTTTCTTAAATGAATTTAACATTTTCACTGTATATACCTTCAGTTCTTTTTTTAGCTGTAAAATTGTATGGACTTCTCAACTAAAGCTTCTTATTTCTATTTTAGGAAATAATTAGCATCTTAAATGACAATTTAATCATCAAATATTAAAAACAATACATCTATAACATCACAATTATCATCAATAACCTTATTATATTATATACCCTTCAAAATTATATCTCTACTTATACTCAAATAACCTTATTTAATTATCGTCTAAATAACCGTGTCATTTTGCAATGAAAACCTTAGCCAGGACAGAGGTAGTAACTACTTTGCATGCATATTAATATATTCTTGAAGAGCATTAAGCTGGCATAAAATTTGTTTCATGCCTATATAGTTTTTCATTTTTTTCTTTTTGGGAAATGCATATGTTGTGGTCTGAGTATTTATGGATAAATAAACAAACCAGTCTTCAGCAATGGTTTGAGTATTGCTCAAAAGGGAAGAACACTTGCCCAGTATGCAAACAACCATGTAAAGAGAAGAATGTCAGTCGACTTTATTTTCAATCAGTTGGTGATACAAATGAAACAAGCCTCTCCCAGATTCCGCGTGACAGTGAGCAGAATCCAGAAGCATTGCAGAGAGAGGTCAAGAGATTAGAAGGTAGAGTTTCTGTACTTAGTTCTGCTCTGGATCAACACCAGAAAGATCTCAAAGAAATTACTGAGGAGGTATGTTATTGTATTGTTCTCTATATGTGTTTCTCAAAGTGAACAGTAGAGAAAATACCTTGTTGTATTTACCACACTGACAATAAATCTATGTTTGTGTTCGACACTCCTAGGGTAATAATGCTTGAGTTGTAAACAATAATATGCTTTCAATAAAGAATTCTAGTATGGCTTTTTTTGTGTTGGTTGGCTAGTTGAAAAGTGAAAGGGAATCTGCTTCAAGGATGATCTGTATCATAGTGACCATGCGAGGAAAAGCTGAAGACTTGTATCTTCATTTTCTTTTTAATGGGAATAATTATTGCTCACATTCTTAGGAACTTGTAAATGAATCATATTCCAAACAATTTGTATTCTTGCAAAGCTAGGGATAAGATTTGCAATACTGAAAGACTAATGGTTATAATTGGAAAGACTGTAGATGCCTCTTTCCAGTCTAGGATATGGAAATAGTTGGAACATGGAAGTTAAAAAGGGTCAAACGTCTTAAGAAAATTCCTAAAAAATGTAATTTTGGTTTCTCCCTCTATCACTTTCTTCATCCCATCATTTCATTCTTCCAATGATTTTCTATTGACTTCAACAACTTTGGTTTAGCTTTTAACATCTAAGGAACAGGTCAAGCTAGAAGTGAAACTGAGAAGTGAGGCTCTGGTAGAGAGAGCTGCAGCTCAAACCTTGCTTTGTGTGAAGACTAAGGTACCCATTTTTCTTTTGTTGTGTTTATAGCCAGTATACTTACTTTTAGCTACAAATTTATTGATTGAATATAATTTGGCTTACAAGCCATTTTTGTAAAATGCTTAGTGCTATGAAAATTTGTGTTTGCAGGACCTGGAAAAATCAATTTCAGAATGCACAAAGCTAAAGGAAAGAAATCTCTCACTGGCCAAGGAACTCGCAGCACTTAAGTTGTAGGTGACAATATGGAAAGCATATAATATTTTTCCTTAAGTCAACTTTACTCAATGGTTTTTATTTTTATGGTTTAATATGTAGGGTCTGTGATTTAAATTTGGAGGAAGAAGATGTCTTAAAGTTTGCTACATTAGGTAATGAGGCCAACAGTAAAGAGACAATTGATATTTTGAAAAGATCACTAGCCATCCGTAACAAGTAAGACATCACATTTTTTTAATTTGATAAGGATCTAGTTTGTTTAAATCTTTAATATTCTCTGCTATGTATTTGTTAAATAATAGTCCGTATTTAATAGCTAGTTTCATTTCTTAGTTTGTATGGAGTTCGTGAGTTTTGAGAGTCTTAATTTGCTTCGCTATAGTTTTCTTGCACGTGGAAGGACATGAGCTTCTATTACCTTATTGAATAGTTGAAAGATTGTGGAAGGGAAGAACAATAATTATAATAACTGCAAAAAATCATAGGAAATCGAAACTTAGCCATCACAAAATCACTCTTATCCTGCACGACACTTGATTCTCAAGTATTTACTTTAACAAAGAAGTGTAGTGTCAACATTCAGTTAAAAACTCACTCATTTTCCCCAATGATATGAAAGCTAATTAATGTAATTGACATTGTGGCATGAAAAGCAAAATTGAGTTTGATAGTCTGCTTGTAGCTGTAAATAGTGATGGAAATTCCTTTAACCCAGTTTCTTATGTATGCACATTTGTAGATACTCTATAGTGGTGTTAATGTCATGTTCAAGATTAAATTTGTTGTTTTAATGGGTATCAGTATCAGAAAGGGATACTAATGCAGTAGTAATGCATGGATACTCATCTCATCTTCAGATTTAAAATCGAAAGGTTATGATCATTGTGGGCTTCACTTAATTTGTTCTCTTTTCTCATCATAAAAAGTTCTTATTTTAATATGACTTCTCACTAAAAAACCCTACATACATATATGTATGTATAGAATTTGGATTAAATGAGAATGTGATCTAAGAAGAGTAATGAAAATGAATTTGGAGCGTTAGAGACTTGAGAACTGTGCATTTTTATGTGAAATAGAAATGTTTACTACCTTGAATCAGAAAATATGGTGGCATTTTTGTAAACAAGTTCAACTTTTTTCTAACCATGTAAAGTGTGCATTATTTTAACATACATGTGCACCTCCATGACCCATAATATGCATCCTTTTGGATCATTTTCACTTTTCACGGGAAGAAGTGATCTTATTGGAACTGGACCCTATAGTTAATACTAATGCGTCTAGTTTCGAACAAAATTAAGATCTAACGGTGAAACTAATAGTTAATACTAATGAATAAAAAAATTGAACCATAAGCTTCATTTCCGGCCAAAAATGGAGTTGGCCTGACGAGAAAGGTACTATATTTATGTATCTATAAAAAGAATTGCATTCTCAAGTCAACATGGCCCCCAAGTTATATATATGTGTATGTATAACAAAAAAATATGAATGTGTATATATATGTATGTGCATGTATCAGTATTTGTGTAATTACCCTTTCATGGTTTCTCACTTCAAAATGTTAGATTCAAACTCTAATGATTATGATCATGTTGACATGCAGTTAATAGTTATATACTAAACTATGTGAAAATTAAAAATAAAAGAATGTCTTTGTGCAACACCTTAGGAGTTACAAAGAATTGATGGCGAAGTGCAATTCTCTTGGACGAGGGGAAGCACGTTCTCTTTGTGAACTTAAGAAAGCCAAAGCCAAGATCCATACCCTGAAAGTAAGTTGATGACATAGTGAGTTTGAATGGGGTAGTTTGAGCTTTGAAAACACTTATATATGCAGAGCTATTTATAGGCAAAGGTTCAAAAACTGGAGACAGCTGCTGAGGCAAAAGAAAATGAAGCATTGAGAACTTTGAGGACTTGTAAGAGGATGAGGACACATGAGACAGATTCATCAATTGCTTCTGTCCAAGAAACCATATCTAAGAAGTGCTCATATAACAATCAAGAAAACTGCCCCCCTGTATCCGTGACTGGTTTGGATCTAGCGAGTCTCACACACACTGATTTACCCTATTCAGGACAAAAGGAAACACACAAAGGGGAGTGTTATATAGGAAATGCTACCATTGAAGATACTGTTGCTTGCAATCCCCCCGAAAAGCAGGAGGTTTCATTTCTTAAAAAGAAAGATGAAGATATATGTGAGATTTCAACATATAAGGGGAATAAAGGGTTGCATACAAGTTTGAAGTCAACAACTTGTAACAAGACAAGTTCCATTGATTTCCATTTCTCAAACAGAAGTGCATCACTGGAGACGATAAGTGCCAGTGCTCAAGTGCGGCAAGAACAAAACAAGGAAGAAATACAAAGCTCAAGAAGTCCTAATAAGAGCAATAAAAACTTGTCGCATGATGCAATTGACAGTGATGATGATGTGGTCATTTTAGATGACACGAGTTTACCCCAAGCATCTTTCCACATCAGAAAAGATACTTCATCTTCATCACCCCTTCTTGCTGGACCAGGTTTTACCCCTCTTATTTCCTCTTAAACTGCAGTTTTTGTCGATGTATCTTTTAACCGGGAACAAACTGAGCCTTATGTATGTTTTTGTAGAAATAACTTATACCCCACATTGATATGAAAACACAGGAGACCGTTGCTTCTCTGGTGGGCTGATAGGTCCTGATGGAAACAATTGGCACTTGGGGAAATGGTGCAAGAAGGTGGGGCAGAATAAGGGACCAATGCCAGCGTCTGCAGGATCAGCCACCATTAGTGGTAACCTGATTGCTGTTGGAGCAGATGGTAGAGGTGGTAGGACCAAAGTTCTAAGGTCCTCAAACCACACATCCTTGGTGAGCATAAATAGTTCCTCCTTTTTCGGCACATAAAAATAAAAACAGTGCCATAATATGTATAGTATATTCATGTCTGAATAAGTGTCGGAGTAACATCCCATCTTGTGTTTTTTTGGAGCAGAACAATGACAGTTCATCAGCATCAACTAAGCGATTCAAGTATGCCCTCAAATCAAATAGTTTGCAATCTCAAGGGTGCTTGCAGATGGAGCACTTTTTTAGTAAGGCTGGGCAGTAGGTTTGTGTGCTCAATTGGTCAAGGGAGGGGTAGCATCATATGTAAAGCACACAGCTCTTTCTATCTCTAGCAGTAGGGAGCATGCTCTGTTAGACAAAATGGTTTTGTAGTTTTGAGAAAAGAAATTCTGATCGATCTATCTCAAAATGATTTTGAAGTAAAACAGTTGTACTATAACAAGGCAATGTATTTTTGTTGGAGGCATTAACTGAAATATTGTTGTTAAGCAGCTTTTGATGATTACTTTAGTTTTCGTAACACTGAAGTGACTGAATTTGGTGGCATTGGTGAAATTCTAGTAGGAACTACTAAATTGGTAAGTTATATTTCCCACTTATTTTGAATATAGTACATAATCAATGTATAATATGACAAGACGTGTGTTTGGTAAAAAGTAAGGCTGATAAGTCAAAAACATTGGTTACCAAATAGGCCCTAAGGTTGAAGGAATGTGCAACTAAATGATTACATTCATCATTTCCTATCATTTTCCGTTGAAAACATTATAAATGTTGAACAATGAACAATTTGTATTTTCTATCGGTAGCGTGAGCTGGTAGCCTGGTAGTTGTAACGATTAACGTACTACACTTCTGGAACTGGCAGTCGACCATTATGGAGTGAGACCGTGTCTATGCTGCTCAAAATGACCCTTGATGTTCTTTACATTGACCCATTTGGGTTGGTACAGATATAGAACAATTGGATTAAACACAAGTGTACAATTTGTTTCGTTATTAGGACAAAAACAACTTCAACCATGACCCAATGATATTGTTGGAAATCCGGACCGGCTCAGACCTCAATCACCAATAGCCCAAAGGCTAGCTCACATTCACCACCAAGGTTGCAAAAAGGGAAAACTGAAGGGCAACGATCAACTACCCTCACTCACAGTACCCAAGCCCCAACCCAGAAGCACCACCGGTGAAGGAACTCACCACACAACCAGAACCAGAGTGAAGACCCCCACAGGAAACCCCACAGCGTCACCGGAGTATAGCCAGAGCTAAGGCTCAGGTGAGGCTGGTACTCTCTCACTCTAGATCTAGGATAACCGACTGAGAAGCTCATCGGATAGAGAGAAGGAGGAGCGAAAGAAATAGGAGGTTCGAGAAGGAACCAGACAAGTATATCAAGGGCCACAAAGAGTCACGGACTGGGTAGTGGACAAAAGGGGCGTATGGGCTTGGTCTGGCAGACAGCCCAATTGGGCCAGAGATATTTAATAGGAGACCAAACTATTAAATGAGGTGGACCAAAGACAGAATGGGTAAGGGTTAGGCCAAGTTGAGGTGGACCAATACCATCAACAATCTCCACCTTATTGGTCCCCTTGGTGATGTAGAGCACAACTGTGAAAGGGAGTATCATCATCGCCGGTTTTTCTTGTTTTGTCTGTTCTTATCTAACCACAATCTAAATTAAGAATACGTTTACAAGACAACAGTTTTTCAAAAGTGAGACATTTAGTCCCCATATCAGCAGGGTTGAATTCAGAAGCTATTTTGCACAGCTTGATCCATCCTGCATCAACAATGTTCCTTATAAAATGAAACCTGACATCAATGTGCTTGGTCCTGTCATGAAATACAGGGTTTTTGCACAATTGGATGGCAGACTGGCTATCAGAATAAACTGTCACAACCTGCTTAAGAAAACCAATTTCAGTTAGCATACGTTTAAGCCAAATAGCCTCTTTAAAGGCTTCAGTGGCTGCCACATATTCAGATTCTGTAGTGGATAGTGCAACAATAGGTTGTAGTTGGGATTTCCAACTTATGCAGGAACCACACAGAGTAAAAACATAGGAAGTAGTAGACTTTCTATTATCCCTATCATTTGCATAATTGGAGTCAACATAGCCAGTAAGCAAAATACCAGTTTCAGTTTTAGAAAACACAAGACCATGAGAAGAAGTACCCTTAAGGTATCTAAGAAGCCATTTAAGGGCAGTCCAGTGAGACATACCAGGGTTTGCCATGTATCTACTTAAGCAACTAACAGCATAAGCTATATCAGGTCTTGTGCTTACCATGAGATACATGACTGACCCTATAGCACTGGAATAGGGTACAGTCTTCATCCTATCTATCTCAGGAGCAGTCCTTGGGGACTGGTCCTTGCTTAGCACAAAATGGGGTGCTAAAGGAACATTTACAGGTTGGGCAGAGTCAAGGTTGAATTTTTTCAAGACCTTGTCTAAGTAGGAGGTCTGGTTCAGGGTAAGGGTACATCTACTCCTATCCCTGATTATATTAATCCCTAGGATTCTCTTAGCATCTCCTAGGTCCTTCATAGCAAAATTTTCACAAAGGCACTTTTGAACAGTCTTAATGGCATTCACAGAAGGGCTAATGATAAGCATGTCATCAACATAGATCAACAAGAAAACAAATACAGAGGCAGTATTCTTAAAATACAAGCAAGGATCAGAATCAGACCTTTTGAAACTCAGTGAAGTCATGCATTGGTCAAATTTTATGTTCCACTGTCTGGGTGACTGTTTTAGGCCATAGAGAGCCTTCCTAAGCAGGCAGACATGTCTAGGGTACTTAGGGTCAACAAAACCCTCAGGTTGGGTCATAAGAATTTGTTTATCTAATTCACCATGTAGAAAAGCAGTGGTAACATCCATTTGTTTCATCTCCCAGTCATTATGGGCAACTAGGGCAAGCATCATCCTAATTGTGGTAAATTTTACTACTGGAGCAAAAATTTCAGCATAGTCTACCCCTTCTTTTTGAGTGAAACCTTTAGCCACTAACCTAGCCTTAAATCTAATGTCATTAGGTTCCTCTTTGACCTTGAAAAGCCATTTGCACTCAACAACAGAACAATTAGGAGTCCTAGGAACTAGGGTCCAAGTGTTATTCAACTTAAGGGAATCTATTTCACTTTGCATGGCACTAAGCCAGTTTTTAGATTCTCTAGAGGTAAGGGCTTCCTGATAGGTTTTAGGTTCATTCAACTCAAGAGTTTCAAAGGCAGAGAAAGCAAACAAAGAGGTATCATAAAGGTGAAAGGCATAGTCAGTCAAGCTATCTGAAACCTTCCTTATGTTTCTCCTAGTCCTATCTCTAGCTAACTGATAGTTTTCAAGGTCCTGATTATCAGTAGTAGTTTCAAAATGGTCATTATCATTAGTAGAGTCATTACCAGTGAACACATCATGCATACTTTCATCATTATTACTAGGCTCACTGAGCTGCTCCACCTCACTGGAGGTAGAGGGGGTATGATGCATAGTGTTGGTCAGGTCAGACTTAGCAAACTCATTAAACTGAGGAGTAGCAGTGGTCTGGATAGGCTCCACCTCACTTGGAGGGGTGCCATCAGGTTCAGTTTGATGGTCAGTCACAGTCTTAACTAAGCAGGGAAAATCAATTTCATTAAACACAACATTTCTGCTTATAATGACTTTAAAACCAGGTTGATTTCTATCCCATACCCTATAGCCTTTCACACCTTCAGGGTAACCTAGGAATACACACTTTTTAGACCTAGGATCAAGCTTATCAGTCTGTTGATGAACAAAAGCAGCACACCCAAAAACTCTCAAGTTTGACAGATCAATGGACTTTCTAGAGAACACAGATTCAGGGGTTTTACCCCCCAAAGGCACAGAAGGAGACCTATTGATTAGATACACAGCAGTGTTAACTGCTTCTCCCCAAAACTTCTTGGGAAGACCAGAAGTGGATAGCATACTCCTAACCTTATCTAGAAGGGTCCTATTCATCCTCTCAGCAAGACCATTTTGCTGAGGGGTATAGGGCACAGTTTTGTGTCTCCTAATCCCACACTCAGAGCATAAACTATCCATATCCTTATTGCAGAATTCTAAGCCATTATCAGTTCTAAGGGTTCTAACCTTACACCCAGTTTGGTTTTCTACAAGGACCTTCCACTCCTTAAACTTAGAATAGACATCAGACTTATGATCTAGCAAACAGACCCAGACTTTTCTAGAGTAATCATCAATTAAGGACAGGAAATACCTTCTACCCCCATGGGTAGGGACACTGGAAGGACCCCACACATCAGCATGTATGTAGTCAAGGACAGATTTTGACTTAGGTTCACTAGGGTAACTAGAGGTAGGAAATTGAACCCTATGTTGCTTACCTAGGACACAACCTTCACAGAAGGATATAGGTGACACCAAGTCAGTTCCAAAACACCCAGTTTTTTGTAAAATACTTAGTCCTTTATTACTCATGTGACCAAGTCTTTGGTGCCAAAGCACAGACTTGTCACTAAGAACAGCATTAGCATTTTCAGAAAAAGGTTTAGCATGAGCAACATAAAGATTGTTCTTTTTCAAGGCTTTGAATAAGACAAGGGAGTTTTTCAAAATCTTCATACACCCATTCCCCCATTTACCCTCAAGACCACATTCTTCAAAAGCAGAGACTGAAAGTAGGTTATGTCTTAAATCAGGTACATGTCTAACATTTTTAATTTGAAAAACAGTTCCATTTTCAAATTTTAGACAGATGTCACCAATACCAAGGACCTTACACCTTTTACTATCTGCTAAAGACACATAACCAGTATCACACAAAGTGTAGGAAGAAAACAGATTCCTAAAGGGTGTCATATGGTAGGTACAACCTGAATCTATTAACCATTCACTCTCACTCAGACTACTGAGCACAGAATTGGCTTGATCACAGACCATAAAAACTTCATCTTCTACAACCTTATTGGTCACAACATTAGCCTGGTCATTCTTCTTAGGTAGGGTGCAATCTTTAATGTAATGTCCTGGGTTGCCACAGTTATAACAGACTCTTTTTCTAGACTTGAACCTCTTCTTACCAGGTTGTCTACTATTTTTATCCTGATTGTCCTTTTTAGGGTGTCTAGACCTGCTTTTAGATCTTCCCCTAACAAACAAAGCTTCCCCAGATTCCCTGTGATGACTCCTAGAATGTTTTAAGTCCAGTTCTTTACTTCTCAGGCCATTAATAACAATATCTAGGGTTATGTCATCCCTCCCATACTTGATGGCTGACTTAACATCATTATAGGAATCAGGTATAGCATTGAGTAAAACTATAGCAGTGTAGTCATCTATATGTTTATCCCCAGCCTGTTTAATGTTTTGTATTAGTTTATTAAAGGCATCTAGGTTTTCATCAATATCCTTTGTTAGGTCAAGTCTGAACCTAAAAAACTTTTCCAACAAAAACAGTTTGCCAGGAAGGGAAGTATCAGTATATAGTGACTCAAGTTTGTCCCAGAGGGCCTTAGCGGACTCAATGACTCCAACCTTCCTAAGGACAGAGTCAGACAGGTTTAAGTATATAGTAGAGCATGCAGTTTCATTCATCTCGACTTGTTTAGGTTTATCCTCTGTTTCTAAGTATTGTCCAGTAACAGCTCTAAACACTTTCTGTTGGATTAACACACATTTTAATTTTTGTTTCCATATATCAAAGTCAGTTCTACCATTAAAAGGCATCATACCATATAGGTTTGAAGCCATGATAGCAGTCAATACACTAAGCTGCTGAGATACAGATAATATAAAGGCTAACCCTAGTGGTTTGGGCAGCGGACTAAGTGACCACGCAGTTCCGGGGCCACTGAGGTGGCTGGCAGGGAATCACTTAGCCCTATCCTCAGGTGCCCTAGCCAACTAGGGGTTAGAAGCCACACTATTACCAGAACTCAACAGCAAGAACAGGAATTGACAAGACTGATTTGAGCAAAGAAGTGACAAATACAATAGTAACAGGGCAAGCTACAACAATACAGAGGAAGTGCAGAGGCAATAACACAGAGGAGATAGCAAATTAAAGACCACAACACACAGAAAGTCAATTTAATAAGCCAATCAAAGTTCACAGACAATTAGTGGCCAAGTTCGACACAGATTGGACCACTCATGCACATCCGAATTACACCTAGGGTTTCTACAGATCTGTGCTAACAGATACTGTACATGCAACGGTTGTTCTAGGGTTTCTACTCGGCAGATTTATAACCTAGGGTTACAAGTCCACCCATGCAACACAGAGGCCGGTGGCACTCCGGCAGCCCACAGGTTAGGGTTTCAGGCTTATACCTGAGCGGGTGTCACTGAAAGACAACCCGACTTACCAATCTCCGATGAAGCTCCAGGCGTTACCGAGTGTGGGAGTTCTCCGGCGAGCTTCCGGCGTCGGCGAGAGGCAGCAGCGTCCAAGCTCTGATACCACTGTTGGAAATCCGGACCGGCTCAGACCTCAATCACCAATAGCCCAAAGGCTAGCTCACATTCACCACCAAGGTTGCAAAAAGGGAAAACTGAAGGGCAACGATCAACTACCCTCACTCACAGTACCCAAGCCCCAACCCAGAAGCACCACCGGTGAAGGAACTCACCACACAACCAGAACCAGAGTGAAGACCCCCACAGGAAACCCCACAGCGTCACCGGAGTATAGCCAGAGCTAAGGCTCAGGTGAGGCTGGTACTCTCTCACTCTAGATCTAGGATAACCGACTGAGAAGCTCATCGGATAGAGAGAAGGAGGAGCGAAAGAAATAGGAGGTTCGAGAAGGAACCAGACAAGTATATCAAGGGCCACAAAGAGTCACGGACTGGGTAGTGGACAAAAGGGGCGTATGGGCTTGGTCTGGCAGACAGCCCAATTGGGCCAGAGATATTTAATAGGAGACCAAACTATTAAATGAGGTGGACCAAAGACAGAATGGGTAAGGGTTAGGCCAAGTTGAGGTGGACCAATACCATCAACAGATATGTTATAACCCTAAAGGATTCATGAGTCATGAGATCATTGTTTTGTGCACCATGTATGTAGCACATGGCTTTTGTCTCCTGGGAGGCTGGGAAGGAGTCCACAAAGAGAACAATGGACAGTGACTGCAAACTTGAAGCAGCTATAGATGAAGAGAGATGCAAATTTGAAACTCCTGTAGCAATGAACATCGATGCCAAAATACATACATTCATCACAGCCTAGTCAATGCATTAGGCATTATGTCATTTGTATTGTAGACATAATTGTTATCTTAATTTTCAACTAACAGGCGTTATCTTAATTTATTATCTTAGAATCTCTAAAATAATAAAGAGTTTTTTTACCTATATATTATCAATAGTATGTAAGTTTACAAAAATGTGACTCACTCTTCACTAATACAAATACGTAGGGCAGTTTTTTAGTAATGAAGGTAGTTAGTGCACTCACATTAGTAACCAGTGGTCATATATTTGTTAATAAGGTTTAAAGTAGTAATATATTTGTAATTTTTCTAATAAAAATACTGGTTTGAAGCACCAATTAGTCATGTTTATCATGTTTATGGCCTCTCAAGAAAGAGGTAAACCCCTGTTTATCATGTTAATGCTCCTAGCAGTGTTTAATTTGGGAAGTGTTCTAACTGTAATATATATAGCTGCTGCGGAAGTGAGGTAAAAAATTATCACATATAGAAATTAAATATTATCTAAAATGGTTAGTTATTGCAATATTACTTTTACAAACTTAAGAATTTATAAAAATGGTTTCTTTTTTAAGAGAAGAATTTCTAAAATGGTTAGTTATTGTAATAATACCATTTACGGATAGTACACATTTTCTTGATCTCCGTAGTTGCTGTCAAATACTTAACATGCCGTTGTGTTCTTGTACATGATAGAACTCAACTAAGTGTGTAATCATCTAATTAAAGCGGTTGTATATTTTCATTATTAAAAGCAAGACACTCTCAATAAAAATCAAACATTCTCACATCATTTCATATGTGAGCGGAAGCTCAAACGAACATAATTAATGTTTAAATTGTTTAAATTATTTCTATGATCAAAATAAGGATAGTGAATAAAATGTGATTTAGTAGCTATTTGTGAATATAGTTTTGTTCAAATTTTACATTAAAATGACTATAAAAGTGTATTTCATGGTCACATTAGTCATATTTTTGTCCACAAATCTTATTTTAGTAACATTGCAGGAAAAACCTCATTATTTTTCATATTAAAGTAAAAATAATAATATATAAAAAGTTAAGGTGCAAAACATTTGCCTTTAACACTATAAAGAGAATACAAACTTTTCTTAAGGTGCAAAACATTTGCCTTTACAAATTTAAGTGTTTATTTAATTTCTAAATCGCTTCTACTTCTTTTGCCAAAAAAATGTTTTACTTCTACCTTAATTTAGCTTGTACTTTTACCTTCTACTTGTACGGTGTACCTCAATGGCTCAATTTAGCTTCTACTTCTTGTATTGCTTTGTTTTTTTGCAAGATCTACTTCTATTTCTCTTACAAATGGAAGTGTTTATTTGATTTTTTAAATTACTTCTACAGCTCTACGCATTTACTTGTATGGTGTGTACCTTAATCTTGGTTCCACTTTTATTAAGGTGCAAAATATTTAGGGGGTGTCCTCATATGGATTCTTAAGGATTTTAAAGGAATAAGATTTTGATGGATTTATATGGAATTATATAGAATCTGTAAGATTTTAATCAAATTCTATGGAATCTGAAATCCAAAGAATCTGTAAGGTTTCTCACCACCATGAAACACCAATTTCTCTTTCACCTTGCTTTGCCGCTAGCCTGCTTCTACGATTTCTGCGTGTCTCCTTCCTTAAGGCTTCGGCAACACTGAAGAAGGAAAGGAATGTATAATGAAACCTATAGAAATTGAAACAGTATACTAATAACCAATCAACTATCTTAAACCCAACTTCCAATACCCAACTTTTTGTAATCTGAATCTCATCTTCTAACACCCAACTTTTTGTTGGGTTGCTAAATGATAAGAACGAGATTGATTGAACAGAATGACTCTCTTTCTCCGGTCTCTATCTTAACCCTCAAAAGAGGAAGGATAAACGGGGCCGATAAAGAAACGGGGGCTGAAATTCGAGCACTGCCTCTAGCTTTGTTTTGCTCCTGGACGGGAAATCCGTTGAAATCCGGAAGGGAATGCAGCGATTTTCAGCAATATTCTATCCTTCATATTTTAGCTTTGAAATCCATGTAAATCCATAACAATCCAAGAGTTAAAAATCCATGGACAATTTGTGGATAGTTGTATTTTCCTAGACTCCATACAAATCCAAATTGAGGACACCCATACTTTGATGGAATTCTAAATTCCTTTAAAATCCTTGAGAATCCATATTGGGGACACCTCTTTTAGCTTGTACTGTAATTACTGTTTTATGACATTAATAAGTTTCTTTAAAGTCTTGATAGTAATTTTATTAGTGTATATTGGAGTTTAAAAAAACTAAACCCGAACAAACCGGATAAACTAGAACCAAACCGGTAATCCCTAGTTGCAGACTTGCAGTACTGGTACTCCATTTGGGGGACGATGGACCACAACCGGACCAGTCCACTGTGCCCCTACGACTAGGCATGAATAATATTTGGACCAATCAACAATCACTACGCTCACGTCGCTAATCACCTAGGCCATTTTTAGAAGTTAAAACAGAGATAGAACCAAACCGCGAAGCAATCACTAGGCTATGATTGGGTGTAGTAAACACTAGCACTATTTCCTTTAGCTACGTAGTATAAGATTTCAATTGAAAAATCTAAATTCGAAGCACTGGCGCACTGCAGTGTATACACACCATAGACAAATATTTTCAGTGGGTGGGGTGGGGGGGTCTAAATCATACTCCGTATATACATAAAGAGTCAATAATAATTACTCCACATAAACAAACATTTTCAGTTTTCCACCAATAAAATAGTATTAACAAAAGAAGTTTAATGCAACATTTTCATTTGAAGGGTAATAATATTTCTACAGTCGTCCATTGCAATGGTTGACAGGACAAATTTCAGCACAAATGCAAGCAGGCAATAGTCAAGTTAACCCATTGCATACTTCTGGGTCCAGCTCCTGGCAGTTGTTTCATACTTGCTCCTGTCTGTCTTGTACATATGAGCGATCTCCGGGACCAAGGGATCATCAGGGTTTGGATCAGTTAAAAGTGAACATATTGAGAGCAACACCTGAAAAGCAATATAAAGGAACCTTTCCCACCTTGAGATACAGACTTATAGAGAAACTCATTAGCATTAATGGACTTTTAATCCCACAGAAATGTGAACCTACATCCCTTCTCTACCACTGTAAATTATATTCTGAATAGATAGTATTTCTTATCTTCTTTATCTTTTTATCTTCATCTTATCTTTTTTTCCCTTTTAGCTCTGATTTCATATGTCAAATCATGTTAGTCGACCCCAAACTATTTTGAGACCAAAGCTTGTATTTTTTTTATCCTAGGTGTCGGGGGCTAGGGAGACTGGGCTATAAAATGCTGAAACTGCTTCCATGAAGATTCAAAACCCAGGACTAAAGCTTGCATGTTGTTGTAATGAGGTATTTGAAATTTCTAAAATATTGGACCAAGTGCTAAAATACAAAAGGCTATAGTATCTCTCCCATATGTGTCATCTACCAATCTCTTATGTATTATTGTCACACACATAGACATGTCTCATATTTTAAGAAATTGTTGGTTCACATACTTGTACTCATGTCTGCTTCATAGACCTAAGGTCAATCACACCTAATATCACCTCATCCATTTTCATTATGGGTATATCTAGATCAAGAAGCTGAAAAGATACTTTTGTGAGCTTTTAGTAATGTTAGTTTTTAGTGATTGAAAATATCTTAAAAGAAAAAAGTTTATAATTAGTAATAATACTAATTGCTAAAGACTTTCTCTTAGAAGCTACCAAGTGTAGCTTAAAAAAAATCTTAAATTCTTAAAAAAGCTCTTAAAATTTGTTGTGCCAAACATACATGATGCAACACAGTCAAAGTCCCTCAAGCATATGTAAGTCCTACTGGGCAGGGCTGCAATTGGCAGAACATGAGTTACAGAAGTTTGAATTGTTGTGATTACAGCAGTGGGAGCCCAAAGGAAATCACTGATTCCTTCAATATTTAGAGGGACACAATCGCAGTATGGATGGTTTTTGAGAGGCTATAAAGGCGGGACCTCTTTGGAGTTATTCACACATGACGCAGGCTTTGCTAAAGAGTGGAGATCTCACCTCCCTAAATCCCTTTGGAACACAATTAACAGCTTGTGTTAAATAATTGTAATTCTCTATCTTATACTACGTATATAGAGAAATTACACTACTCCAACTAAGAATAGGCAAACTCAATGACTACCAATTGTAACTGAAGGCACTAATGAAAAAATGACTGGTTGTGCAGAATGCACTAGGCTCTTGAGCTAGGGTGTTGCTTGATTGGTTGTGATGAGATATGGAACCAAGTAATGGCATTGAATTTTTACACAACCATTGTAATCAGTGGAAATGAGATGGTGCCTATTTTGAGTCTGGAAAATTCTAGGGCTAGGATTCGATGATATGTTCACTGAAGACTATTAAACTCACCACTTACACCTTCATAATATCTAAAGACTAATACATTATTTAAATAGAGAAACGGCACAAACTTAATGGGGTTTCTCCATTCCTGTGTACTACACTTTGACAAACTATGGTTTGCATATCTCAAAGCCAAGTAGTGAGAATCAAGGCTCAAATAACAATGAGAGCGTGTCAATACTAAGGCAGTAAGGCTCGTCAGCTCGTGAATTAAGAACAAAGAAAATTGAATCTCATCCACTCAAGGATGATATCATTTAGAAAATCTGAATCTCATATCTACTCTAAAATGATAAAAGAAAACTTTTGTAAAAAAGATTTAGAAGTTGTGAGTTTGACTTTTAAGCATCAAAATAATCAGCATTACTAGTTTACTACTAAGCAAAGAAGTGAGAAAACTTCAAAGCTAAGACCTTGGAGATTGTCAAGGCAGGGCTCCACTGCTCTTTCAGGATATCAAGGCAGATGCTACCATTGCTATTGATATTAGGATGAAAAACTTTTGTCCTAAAAGCCACCTGCAAGGCGTTTCCAAAGATGTAGCAAAATTATGAAGAGCCTGTGCTCCAAAATAAAATGTACGGTCTCAAATGCTAAAACATTAACAAATTATGCAACATCAATCATTCACATAATGGTAGGTTCCAAATTGTTGATCGACAAGTAAATAAAGACCTTGGAGAGGCTTTGATACATAAGTTTCATTAAGGAAATAATACACACATAGAAAAATTAGAGTTGGGGTGGCTCAAGGATAGAAGATAGAAATGTTCCTTTTCTGTTGACACGGAAGAAGCAGGGTTGAATTTGTTTCGCCGTGTAAAAATAGAACTTTCTGCTTATTCACATCATAGGTGGGAGACAAAAGGTTTTTATTGTATCGAAATATTAGAGTAAACAACATTAGCAGATCAGCAATTCAGCACTACTAAAAGAGCACCCATCAATCACTAAATGCCAGTTAACAAGAAGTTCTTCGATTAAAATAAAACGAGCTTTCAAGATAAGGCGCACTTTAGAAATAAACATAACATTCATCATTATGTACCTTCGGAGGTTTGAAGGGATAATCAGGAGGGAAATGAATAGTAACCAGAAAAACTCCCCCTGCATAAGGACTGTCTGGGGGACCCATTATGGTGGCTTGCCAATGAAACATGTCTTCACCAACGGGTCCTGTTCAACAAGTCATGTAGAAGATGACTTCTTAATGAAAACCAAAAGACATAAATAAAGGACAATTTCATTTTAGCTTGTGACCACTATAAAAAAACGATGGCTATGTTTTTAATAAACACATGTCCGGACTCCGTTTTGACAATATGTTTATCAAGAAAATGGTTAAACATTGAAACCATTTACCCAATTAGGTATTAAAAAACATATCATTAAACACAAGTTTGATATACATTTCACTAATTCCTGAGTTAATCCCTAAGGTCAAAATAAAATGATGATTGATGGGATTGTTTAATATCCTTTTACATCACATATTCAAACAACAATACAGTTAGTATGTGTTTGGACAAGTTCTGCAATTTCAACATGTAAATCAATAGACATGAACAGGACATTATCTATTGACAATAGACATCAACTCGGAGCAAGCTATAACAGAAACATAACACTAATGTTTAGAATACACACACGGATACACCCCATAAGGTACACCTGACTCTAATTGTAATACAAAAATATGCAAAAAAAAAATCATGGGTATTTCTCAAAATTATCCTGAACTATGTTAAAATAAAATACCTTGGGGAATTCCCGAGGTACCGTCGTTAGATTTACTAATTATCCATATTCAATTTCAGAAATACTAAAACCTATGGATGATCTCAATATGTTTCCCATGATTTGTTAGGTTACCGTGAAATCAGAAAGAAACAAAAGCAGGCATAAACCAAATTAGAAATACCAGCGCTGCAGGAGGAAGGAGGATCTTTCTGCAGATCCTTGAGCTCCTTCAGGATCCGTTTCGAAGCCATAGCGCAGAGTAACCTGTTAATCGAAGATATCCGTTCAGAAAAATAGGGCAAAATGCAACAACAGCGTGTGCGCGTGAATATATATAATCATGAATGAATACCTAAACAATCAATAGTATTATATGTATAAACTAGATGCGAGAAGAATGATTTATTGTTTCAATAGTATAATTAGGGAGCTTCACCGCTTTATTGTTTTCTTCTTTCTGGCTCCCAACCAAGAGAAAATTGATGCCTCTACCAGTAACAATAATAATAATGAGTAATAAGTAAATATATAGAAATGCTGAGTAATAATGAAATATATAATAATAATCGGGAGTAATAAGAAAGATTTCATTGTTGAAGCAAATTTCATCTAATGTGCTATCATTTATATATTATACGGAGTATAGAATATGTATTAGAGTCGATTTTATGTAAATTATGTAATCTGGGTCTATTGACATGTACTTATAAATTTTACTCTATCCTTATTTATACGGGCATTTGATAATGAAACTATACAAACAATTTTTTTTGAAACAATTCATTGACTTGTTGGGAATGTTTGTTCCTTATCCCATTTTAAATTGTTCTACTTTGGAATTCGGACTACTTTACTTCGCAAGGTTTTGGTCCATAAATTCTTAAGCATGCCTAACAAGAAAAATTTCTTTTGTACAAGTTCTTATACACATCAGTACACCTTTGTGTTTGTGAGAGTTTTTTTTACTGTGAATGTCAGTTCACAAACAAAACATGGCTTGTTTTGTCTGTAGAATTTTCCACAGACAAAACAAGTCAGGTTTTGTCTATGAACTGACATTCACAGACAAACAAAAACTCTTACAGACACGAAGGTGTACCGATGTGTATAAAAACGTGTACACCAAGAATATTTCGCCTAACAAACCTACTCAATATATTCCATCCGTTCATCTGATTCATTCAATAAATATTTAATAGAACCCTTTCTACGGATATTTGATTATAAAAGTGTTAGGAATAATTTCAATAATTATTGTTTTGTTTAAATTCTGAATAATAATTTCTCTCAAATTTTCAAAAAAAAAAATCTCTAAATAATCCTAATTTATTTATGTATGTCTAAGCTAGGGCGATTTACGAGCCGAGCCGAGCCTGGACATCCAGAGCTCGAGCTCGGCTCCATTCGGTAATATGGGTGTTCGGGTTCGAGCTCGATAGGCGTTCAAATCGAGCGCTCAATAAGCTCGATAAATATACTCGAACTTTAATTTTTAGGTGATGCTCATTAATAGGCTCGTGCTCGAATTATTCGACAAGTATTAGATTCGTTACTAATAATATTTAATTTCATAAAATCAAACTAATTATATTTAAATTTTGACGTATATATAAATTTTATTTATTATTTCAGGGTGTTAGATAGGCTCGAGCTTGAACCGAACCGAATACTACTAGGTTCGAGCTCGGGCTCGATTAATATTTAGACTTAAAACTCAACTCGGATTCGAGTTCGAAAGCTCGGCTAGTTAGGTTCGAAAGTGAGCTCGAATTCGAATAGTTCGATAATTGTCCTAATCCAAGCACTCTCTATCACCAGTTATCTTATACGTAGTAATTAATTAACCTATTCAAAAAATTAAAACAAAGAATGTTTTTACTTGGACCGATTTCAACTCCAGACCAAAATTTACTTCTTTAGTTATAAAATACACAAAAACTAGATATTTACCAGACCAGACCAGTTCAAACCAAACCAAATCAGACCATATTTAAACTGACCAGACCAGACTAACAAATTACAGTCCTAGTAAAAACATCCAAAATCTGAAGTATCAAACAATATTTATCCCAAATTAAAAAGTAAACGTATAATTTGTATCAAAAATTTTTATACATATCTCATATGATCATAACGAAATGCCATTATGATTTGATTGAACAATGACAATGAAAATATTGGACTTTATGAAAGTAAGAGAAATAACAATAAACAATGAACAATTATCTGAAAAAAGAACCGATAGAACAATTATCTGAAAAGATATAAATTGAGCTAAGTTGCTATGATGAGTATGATCTCAAAAAATGGATCAAGGAAGCAAGGCACCCAACACCCAACATACCAAAACGAGCAATGTCATGTACCCCTGGCTCCCAAGCCGAAAATACTTGAAGTCGAGGGCTATTGCCCAAGCGTGGGTCTCTAGTCCGTGACGATTGGCTCGGAGCCTGGGAAACAAAAGGGACAAGTAGGCTTGTGCCACGAACCAACCATAGCTCGCGCCCACAATCTATCCTTGGCAACCCATGGCTTTTGGCATGAATGCATTAAATGTATCTGCATGAACGCCTCCACCAGTCCACATATATTGAACGCCGATGAAGGTACATACTACGCAGCAATAGTCACATAGCCCAACCATTAGGAATCTTTGATCATAATTAGGACCAGTTTTCTCCAAGGAGCAGGTTGGCAATCAAATCCAGGGCAATGCAATAGTAAGGATGTTTTTACTTGGAATGTAATTTGTCTCAGACCAGACCAAATCAGACTTGGATAGTTATAAAAATACAAAGAAACCAGACTTTACCAGACCAGACTAGTTCAAACCAGACCAGTTCAGACCAACAAATTACAGTCCACGTAAAAACATCTTAATTCTCAAACTTAAATAAATTCTCAAACTTGAATAAATACATAGTATTAAAAAAATTGCTAGAGAAAAAAATAGTCAAGGAACTCCAAATCTGAAATCCCCATCATTATCACAGTTTTTCCCACTTCCATGAAATATCACGAGATACTGCAAAATTGATACGAGTCTTTTGAAAACTCAACATCCAAACAGAAGAAGAATGGCGTGTTCACAAACAAATCAATTATAAGAAAAAAAAGTGTCCTTGCGATCAAGGCATCCAAAGCAATTATTGATTGTTACACTAATATTCCGCACCACTCACAAGTATTTATTGATGACGAGGAGGGCACCTAGAGCTACAATAGACAACTAAGAAAAGATGAGCTGTAGAACAAAGTTTTCATGGCCATGGTAGAATACATTCCTAAATCATATCATGAATTGGAAGGCCAGCCACCTTGACCATCGTTTCTCTTGAGTCTCTTTGCCTACAAAATTATTGTGCTCGTGAATGAAGGCATTCCATTGGCTGCTCACTCTCTCTCTCTCAATCTGATATTTTGAGCTCCACCCCCAATATCTCCTTAACGTGCTCGTATGTCACGAAAGCAATAGCAATTGATGGCACAACCTGCACAATTTATTTAACCATATCAATCTTTTTACATGGTAAGAAGTGATAGCCTGAAGAAACACAAAGCCTGCCAGCTTTTGTTTCAAAAATCTCAAATTACATAAAGTAATACGATGTACTGTTGGCTTGTCGGTTGGTTCACAAGAATGTCAGATACTCAGATTCCTGAAACTTATATGAGATTCCAAATATGAGTTTTTAGTTCATTTTTTATGCTCAAGAACCTGATACCAGGGAATGTAAAAACATGAACCAAACAGTCCCGAAAATGTTTTGTTCAATTCCTACCCATTAGCCACACCTTTTATAGGAGGGGCCAATTAGGTCACCATAGCAACCCCCATTGCGAACTAGCAAAATGCAAACACGTCAATGAATTTGTGATATTATTATTGTTATTGTTAGCGTTATTGTTTTATTTTCTTTTAGTTTTTTCTAGCGTGACTATGCATGATGAAGGCAAGGAAACAATACTATGTATATAGTGTTATTATATCCAATAGAGACAAACCTTTACTGAATTGGGGACCAAGCCCTTGTACAGTGCTCTGATGCCCTCATTACGAACAGTTTTACTAAATGCATCAATCATGCCAGTGTACTCGACGGAAGCCCTTCCCTTCCCTCCTTCACCAATTACAACAGATGCAGCATCTTTCCAACCCACCATTTGCATTCTGCGGCGAATAACATCAAGTGGGTAAGCAACTGTTTGGCCAATCGTCCCTGCAACAGCTCCACACGCAAGCCTAGTACCAACACCAAGCTCAGTATCTTCAACCAGTCCCAGAGGTTTAGATTTGATCAGAAAATCTTTCAAAGATTCATAAACAGCAAAATTAAGACCAACATAAGGTATCTGGGGACAAAAAATCAAACTTTTAGTTAGCATTTGAAAAAATAAAAGTACACAATATAGAATTCTCAAAAGAAAATGTGGCATTTGAAGAAATGCAAAAAACGAACTTACAACTCCTATGACAGATGGAAGCCAGCCTTTGTATAAAGCCCGTGGACCTTCTTCACGGAGCACAGTTGACAAAGCATGAACCATTCCCCTGTACTGGTAAGGAGATTTATCGGTCTGCGAACCAAAAGAAATAACTTTAGTCACACAAGAAATAAAAGCATTGCAATGAAATACCCCAAGACTAAAATGCAGATTTGATATACTACGTATTCTATTTCCAGGATAATAGAGAATATTGCTTTACTTGGACAGTTAGCCTGCCTCGGACCATGTCCATTGGGTATGTTGCAGACATGGCAATTATTCCGGCACAAGCTCCGGCTCCAAGACGCAATACAGGAGTTAGCTGAGCATCATCTGCAAATTAACAAGATCAAAGCTCAAACATCGCCGAAATTTAACAAGTCTTTTGATATATTTCATGTTTGTCAAAAGAAATAGCTCGTTCCAGTCTCACGGTAAATGGCATATTACAGTGATATAAAAAACATTAGCTAAATTGCACCCAGGGAACTCAATGGAAATCGCCTTAATAAGGTTTATGTTGTCTAGTAGCATATAGAAAACAGTGAATACTTGGTACAGAAAAAATACAATTCAAAAGCCAAAATAAGTTCACATAATGTCAATGGAGGAAAAGAATATAAAAGGAAAAAAGATAAATGAAAGGCATTACCCGGTGATGGACCCTCAATCTGGGGAGATGGACGGGTTGATATGGGTACACACCTAAACTCCGGCGTAATTTGCACGAAGTGGCTTCCCTCAACTCAACCCAGCATCCCACGCTTGACAGATTGAGCTTTTACCATGCACCAAGGAATGGCTATTTGTTTGCTAGATATAATAGCAGAGGAGAAGAAGAAAACAAGATAGATAATTCACCTTATCACACATTCAACAAATATTATCATAATATACTGATGCTAAATTCGCTCAAAATCTGGGCACACTAAACCTAGTAAAAATGAGGGGTAAAATAATAACAGAATGTTACTTCAAGAATATACAAAGTAACTGAAAGACATTTGGAGGCTCATGTGTATTGAAATTCCTCTTTCTCAATTTCCCGTTTTTAAAAGTTTTATCATCGAATCTTGCACATGAAAAATCATATAGGTTTACACACATAAAGAATGAAGTGTTATGAGCGTTACTGATTATGACAGACTTGTCATTGACAGCGCCTATGGCAAAGAATTTCAACCCTGATAAATCCCTAGAGACCCCACCCCTTGTCATCATAGTCTAAATAATAAAGACAATATCAATGGTGAAACTAAACTCCTATTTATACTACTCACAATACTTGGTGAGCAGGTAAATAGAGTTTTAATAAATTACAATGTTGCTATTAGGAACATTAATCAAAAGAGCAAACCAATATTAACAATAATATTACTACCTCCGTCCCCCTAAGTTTGTTACAAAGGGGTGTAGTGTGGTTTTTAAGAAAAACTAGAATTGTGTGGTAGGTATTGAATTGATAGTGTGAATAAAGTAAGAATGAATTACCAAATATGGTATTGGAAAAACTTAATGGGACTGACGAAAAAGGTAAAACGGGACAAAGTTAGGGGGACAGAGGTTGTAATGTATTATGAAGACTATTATGTTTACTTGGTTCACCGTGCCTGTCCACGAGCCTGTATAAAATGATTGGCATGATTTAAAAGCGAACTAAAAAGCAAGATATTTATACTCCCCTCCGTATTGAAATGTTTGCTAAAATAGGGTTTGGCACATTGTTTAAGTGAATAGTTGTAGGGGTAATGAATAGTGTAGAAAAAGTAGGAGAAAAGATGGAAAAGTATGAAAGAGAAGATAAAATAGAAAACTAAGAGTAATTGAGTATTTTTAAGGGAAAAATTACCAAAACGGAAAGTGTAGCAAAAATTGAAACACATCCCAAAGAGGAAAGTGTAGCAAACATTTCAATACGGAGGGAGTATTAACTTGCAAAACTAAAATAGTTTCCCACCGTGAGATGACCATACATCACAGATTCACAAGGAGCACATACCATTTCCAGTCTGTTCCCTGTACAGCCACAAGATGCCCCTGTACAATATTAATAAAGGGAAAATGATTATACGCCACAATGCATTGGAGGTAATGGTAACATAGATACAAAGTGATTCACAAATAAATTAGTGACTTCCTTGAATAGACTGATGTTGAAATTGAAGTTACTTTATCAACATTAAGACTAGCAAGGGAACATAGATGCATCCTTCCAGATAAGTTGTATAAATCAAGGGTTTCTAAGATGGAACTATATTATAATGGGCAAACATTAAAAAAGCTACACAATCCCATCCTGAGACAATATCATACTTGGATGCCTGCTCGTAGCTGAAAAACTTGACAGCTGAATTCGGGACGATGCGAGCACAGTTGGTGCCATTGCCCTTAAATAATCCTCTGAATCCCTCGGTTCTCCAGATATACTTTAAGCCTTGAACTGTTCCATTGTATTTAATATTGTGGGGATTCTGAACCTGCACATTTGATCAAAATGTTATAAACTTAGAAAATGCAAAGCCTTCGTTAATCCTCTCTAGTAGACTGACTCATATAGAAAAGTATTATGATCATATTTGAAGCTAAAAGGGTAACCTAAATATATAATTGTGGAGACTTTTAAAGACTCTTAGGATATGGGCATTACATATATGGTGGGTTACAATGTTTTTGAGTTGTCTATTATGTGTTAAAATTAAATTGGAATTCAAAATGACAAGGGAAGGCTTGCCCCCTTGTGGTGGGACCCTTCCCCAAACAATGTGGGATGCCCTTTACACACACACACACTTTCAAAATGTATTGGTTGGCCCATGGCCACTTAGTCTCTATGCAGAGACGCGGCTGTTGTGACAATGTGTGTCTGTGTAGTAGAATATGGGGGTGTTTGGATCTGATTCTCAAAACTGATTCTGCTCCTTTAGGAAGCAGAAGCTGGAGTGTTTGGGTGAAATTCCAGAAGCACTTCTGGAGCTCTAATTTACTCTCAGAATCAGTTTTTTTAGAAGCTAGGAGGTACCAACTTCTGAAAACTGATTTTGATTCTGCTTCTGCTTTTAAAAAGGAAGCAGAAGCAGAAGCAGAATCAGTTCCAAACACCCCTATGTCATCAAGCACCAAATTCTTGTAGCATGCCTTATTTTCTGAACATTTTCTCAATAAGCAAAGTGTCAATCATATACGTAGTAAGAAACTTAAAATTGAAAAATTACTAGCATTCACCTGCAGCAAAATTTTTAAGCGTTCCAGGGGAGCAACAGCTGTCCGTGACCTGCAACAGGCTCACTTTAGTATGACTTTAAGATTAAGAGCGTATGATATATATATATCCAACTCTCAGTAATGAAAAGGCTGCAATTTTTTGCAGAAGATGAATAATGGTCACATTATACATTTATTCCCGTTTAGAAGGATACTAATATGTGCGGCTTAGAGGATAGTTCACGTGTTATTTCAAAATTACTACTAACGGAATGTCTGAAGGACATTCCCCTCAGACATTCCACCCATGGAGGAATGATTCAATCAAAAAAATAAACACTGCGCTCCAGGAAAAAGACAAGCTTTATTGTTTCAGTATGCATTTTCATCCCTTAGAAGGCTCCAGCTTCCAATTCAACATAATAAATACACATACATGCATGGAAAATGGGAAAAATGTGCGTAGTTGAACTCACACTCCACCCGCTACACCTCCAGCGACGAGAGATTTGCAGATACTTAGGACGGCATAGCTAGTTGGCTTGATTTCTTTCCTCGCGAGTTTTGCCTCTTCAGCCAGATTTACGATCTTCTCCACCGCGGAATCGCTAGCCTTCACGTCCTCCGAAGCCATAAAGAATAAATTAATAATAAAAGCTCAATTAAACGGGGGGACTCAAAAATCAGAAGTTAGCGAAAGGCCACAATAGGATCTTGGCTCCTCACTACGAACGATTGACTGATACGTAGTAGGTAATTTATCTAATTATTTGCATTTTCTGGGGAGGTCTTCTGTATGTCTGTACCGGCGTCGGCGGCTGGCAACAGATCAACAAATGCAGCAGAGAGTCGATGCTGCAACTGGTGCGAGCGTGCATTTATGTGACGGCGTAATTTAGGTTTCAGCGTAGCGTCACCCGCCTGATAATTCAGGACTTCATTTCAGTGAAAAATCTTATGGGAATACCAAATCAGGCCAAACATTTACCACACCACCCACCACACCAGATCAGATCAAATCAGATCCGAAAAAGAAAAAAATAGCCGCAAATTTTTATCTGCATATATAATGGAGTAGGCTTCTTCTTTTATTTTTAAGCTCAATTGATTAGATCTAATGTTTAATTTTTGTTGACAATTTGAAAAAATGGAGCATAAGTTAAAAGTCTTAAACGAAGCCAAGTTTAAAAAAAGAATATTCATTAAATTTAAATAGAATCAGTTGTAGTTTTTAAAGCAAGCAATTGTTGTTGAATCAATAAAAGACACACAGCAGCGGAGCCAGAAAAAACGGTCCGGAGGGGTCAAAAATTAACTTTATTTATACAAAATGAAAACGGTAGATCGTTTTTTAGATAATACCCGAATTGAGTATTTTATATGTAGTTTAGATAAATAGACACTCGAAGCAATAAGAAAGATTGTATTTGCTCTGTTTCTGAGTCATGTCACGCAAGTAATGAGTTAATTATACGTTATTTTTAAAATTTGGGGAGAAAATCAATATTACATATCAAATTTTGCTCATTTTACGTTTAGATAGTGCTGATTTTGCAGAAGTCGTAACTGTTTACTCGTAAAGAGTTACGTAGGCCATAATATATCAAATCAAAGATATTTCAAAGCTCTATACTCTCAAACTTTCAGCGGGGGCGGCTGACCACCCCGACCCCCTGGCTCAGCCCCTGAAGACATGTCTCTTCAGTCTTCACATCTATTTAGTTCTGCGAGAAATGCTTTAAGTGATTTTTTTTCTTTTTATGTAATGCATGTGTTATTACTTTTGCCAAAATATGTAATTTAAATAATAGTAAAATGATTTTTGCCTTTATTTTATGAGTCTATGACCCTTATTAGATATTTTTGTTATAAATCATATTTTAAATATGTATTGTTTACGGTTGTCTTTAATATAAGCTCAATATAGTATATCGCTCATAAGTCCACAAATGGGCAAGACCGGCCCTATTTCGTAGTCGTTTGTACCCACAATATAAGCCCTATAAATACTTTCTATTTTATCATTTACGAGTAACTTTTAGATGGAATTAACTTTACAGGCAATATTTGACATTACACCCTATTTTCAGAACATTAATATGTGCACCCGATATAGTCTAATGTCATTGACTTTGCACAAAAAATACACCAAAAGCGATGTTTGCGCATAGAGATTTCTTGTCGGTGGCCTAACTTTACATACATTTACTAATATTATTGTTTTATTTGTATATAAAAAAATTATATCGATAGTTTTGACGATACAAACCATTTTTTAAGACAATACATATCACTTTTGTTAATTTTTTTAGTTTTATTTTTCCATGCAAACAAATTTTATCAATATTTAGGCAGACAAATTTTATAAACGATACAAGCAATAACTTTGGCGGTTGAAGATGAAAAATGATTAAAAAGAAAGAAATATAATGAAGACGTTGATGGCTATGAAAGATGACACAATATGATGAAGATGGAAGTGATAAGAAAAGTGGGTGGGTAGAGGGGAAAGGTAGGGAGACAGAGGAGAGAGGGAAAGAGCGGCTTGAATGGGGAGAGGAGAGGTTAAAAGTGAAATAGTAAAATTTAAAATTATTTAGTGCACTAGTGGTGTATACAAATAGTGTGTGCACAAAGAGTTTTTTAAATTCACTTTTGGCACCCCGTACTCGAATGATGCAATTTTGATCTCCTATATTCCAATTGGGCAAATTGAGTTCTTGAAGTGTAGTAGTTGAGTAATTGTGGTCTCTTTCCATCTTTTAACAATTGCACTTTTTTATAATTCGGACAAAAAAGTCACCATTCAGTCTCACATGGTTGACTATTCCTGCTTTGAATCAAATCATCGAGTTAACAAACTCACCCCCGTTGGAACAAGTTAATAGCTAAATCAACTAAAAGACAGCGAGATAACATTGTGGGAAGTTGAACTCAATTAGGTAAGAAATTTGAAATAAGTCTCACGAAGAAACCCTGATCGGACTAAAAAAGTTGTACTTGGGTAATAAAGTTGGTACCATTTTATGAATCTATTTTGTGCGATTTTATAATTTGATGTTAGTGATTTCCCAATTTTATTTCACCATTATTATAACAATTTATTCGTATCTTTGACTTGACTCACTGCTTATGCATGACTATTGCCCTTTTCGGATTTAATATCACATTGAGGTGATGGTAATTTGTCCATTTAAACAACAAAATAGAAAAGGCACAATATTTATGACCAATTTTGAACAAAGAGATAGACATGGATTTAATGCGGGGTTGATATAAGGAAAGCGAATTTAACTCATACAGTGCTCAATAAATCATTATGAATCCATATAATCGTCTACATATCGATACAATCGTATAAACAATAATAGAACTTTAAACAAATTTTAGTGACAATACTTTCATTAATCTAAATAGTTTTGTACTATTATACTCCGTAATACAATTCTAAAGAAATCTTTGAGATGATAATTTCGTATCTAAGTAGTGTAAGGAATAAATGTAATTAGATTTTGATGATGCTAGGTTATTTAGATTAGAATTTTAGAGTACCCCCAATTAGATTTTATGTATTAGTACTTTCTATTGTAAGTATTAGTGTAGTCGACTATCAGAGTTGCTCGCTTGTGGATCTGATCAGAGTTGCTCTCAGCAGTTCATGAGAGTTGCTCATCAGAGAAGCATCAGAGTTCGGTGTATAGCTTCATCAGAACTCAACATCAGACAAGCATCAGAGTTCGCACACCAGAGCTCGACTTGAAGCTACATCAGAACTACTCTTCAGAAAGCCATCAGAATTCAACGTATCAGAAGACTCCGATCAGAGTCCGACTAACACTTAGAAGAATTTCAAAGCTACTTCCAACGGCTGGGAAATTCATCAACGGCTAGAAGATTGTGCATGAAAGGAAAGCTCTTAAATGCACATTAAATGAGCCTGATATGCTTTGGATTTATTGCAAATGATTGACCGAGAAATCTGGAAGATATATTATAAAAATAGAAAGCTTCCAAATCAGTGGGTCAAGTCAACAGTACGCGCATTCAATGCAGTTGTCTCCTCCTCCAACGGGCAGACAACCCCAGTATATAAGCTACAAACCGAAGAACAGGACTACAACTCTCTTTGCAGAGCTTTGCTACAACTTTTGCTCTGAACTTCATACTACAAGCATTCTTGAGATTCAAACTCCACAACACAAAAACAAGAAAAAGCTTACGTTGGGAAGATTCAACCTCACATCTCTCATCCCTAACAAGAGCAAAGTTCATCCTGTTCTTCAACACTTCAAGATCCTCATCAAACATCTTTTGTAACGAAGCAAGTTGGAGGAAAAACTTTGTGTTTTTCAAAGGATCTTCTGAAAAGAAGGGCGTCCAAGTAACTGCAGTAGTGAAGTGGTGATACTTCCGGGAAGCTGAGTTAAAGGACCAGCCATCAGGACGTGGAATTGCATCCTGGGTGGCGTCTAGGCTTGAAGAAGACGAGGAGTGCTTCTTAAGTGCTAGGGATTAGCTTTGTAACCGATCTACTTCAAAGCTAGTGGAACAGTGGACTAGAGGAACGCGTTGTTCCTTGAACCACTATAAAAATATCCGGTGTCATTTACTTTACTGCAATTTTTATTTCTGCACTTAGGACATTAACTGATTAACTCTAAGACTTGGAATCTGTGTTCAGCAGATCTTGTTTTCAGAGTTATCAGAAAGGCATTTGCCTTAGTGTTTCTGAGGCTACCCGGACAGATCAGAATCCGCTGCCAAGGCCAGTTCTGATATCAGAACCAGCCTTTCTCTGTCACCAGAATCAGACCTTCTCTGATAAGTCAGTTTGGACTTTGAGAAAAATTTGAAAAATTAATCAGTCTATTCACCCCCCCCTCTAGACTGATTACCATATTAAACGGGACCAACAAGTGGTATCAGAGCCTCCTTGTTCTTGTAATCTTTTAGGTTACCCTCTGAACAAAGATCCACTTGTTTCTAGCCTCTTTATTTATTATAATGGATAACTCTCTTGCAAAGCATCTTATGTTCACAGATCAGAAATATGATGATTGGAAGATCAGAATGAAGGCACATCTGTGTGCTCTTCATGATGAAATGTGGGAAGTCTTGGAGAATGGACCCTTTATTCAGTTCATGAAGATCAATCCTGCTCACTCTACTGATAACTCTCAGCCCCAGATGATTGAGAAGGCCAGGTCTGAATGGACCAAGGAAGAAAAGAGACAGTACAACCTCGACAACATAGCCAAGGACATTCTCTACAAGGCTATTGATGAAAGGTACTTCAACAGAATCAAGAAGTGCAAAACTGCCAAAGAAATCTGGGATAAGCTGGATGAGATTGGAGCAGGAGATGAGCAAGAAAGAGATAACAAGTTGACCATTGCAATGAAGAAGTTTGATGACTTCAAACTTCTGCCAGAAGAATGCATTGCTAAGATGCATGAGAGACTGCTGATTCTCATCAGTGAGATTTCTGAGCTTGGAAAGGAGCTCACCATCAAAGAGGTCAACATGAAGATCCTCAGGGGACTGCCTTCAGCTTGGAAGATGAAGGTGATTGCAGTCCAGGAAAGCAAGAACATCAAGACCTATGCCACTGAGAAACTCATTTCTGATCTCAAGGCTTATGAGTTTGAGATGCATGAAGAGAAGGAGGAAGTTCCTGATGAGAGGACCACCACTGCTCTCACTGCCAGCACCGCAAAGGTAAGTAACTTTGACCCTTCTACTCTTTTATCTGATGAGTATATGGCTGCTTTTGCCAGGAAGTTTAAGAAGTTTATGAAGAAAGATGGAAGGAGTCCATCTTCTAGCAGAAGACCCCATCAGAAGACCAAGTCTTCTGAGAACAATGGAGAGTACCTCTGCTACAATTGCAGACAACCTGGGCACTTCAAAGCAAACTGCCCCTATCCAAGAGTGTCCAAGAAGCAAGGACAGGAAGAAGAAAAGA